TCAGCAGGCTGAAGGAAGCTGTGGTCAGCAGAGGCTCTGCAAACTTCTGTTTCGCAACAGATGTTCGCACAGGCTAACACCTTGGGAATGGCCTCAATTCGGGTTACCTGGTTTCAGGCCTTCGATGCTGTCTTCCAAGCGGGATCTGCAACAGCCAATCAGTAGGCGGGATGCTGACATCAAATGAGACTGTCCAGTTGAGATTCCAGAACATTGGTGTGGACGAGGACAGAGAAATCTGAAAAGCAACGACGTAACACTAGTTTAGAATCAAGACTTGTCAGGAAAACACGGGGTTTGCTGCTTCGCGTACAACTCCCTACTTTCCCATTCTTTTACAGCACAAATTACATTTTGTAGACATAGTCCAGCAGCCCCAACTACACTGCGTCCTCATACTGCAATCGAGGCACTTATTGTCGGCACTGCGGTTGCTTGCGCGACCTCTCTCATGCTCTTGGGTCAGAATCGAGCAAATCCGGGTTGAGTAGACGCGTTTTCCCTCCATAATCGCGACTCAGGGAATACCCGGCAGCCTGGGCATCTCTGTCTGTCATACGATAGGATCGAGATTCTGAAACTCTTAGAACTCTTGTCACATGAAGGCTTTCTTGTGTATACACAAACGCATTTCTTCCATCAGTTCTCTCGCCTCCACCTTTTCATCCCGCCCGCATAAGTTCCCGTCGACGCGAAACCTTTGAAAAATTGCCGTCTCCCTGGACTTTCTCCTCAATACCTCAAGTCCGGTTACCCGTCCTTCCGTCGGTTGCCCTGCTTCCGTCGCTTCGCACGGTATTCCGCACACGCTTATCGGTAGCGTGTCCCCCATTCCCGGAATTCCCGGATTCCGATCTTCACTCATGGGCAGACCTCGTTCATGTCACATCATCACTAGCAAGCCACCGCAACAATGACGAGTCCGTCAAACCACGTCAGCTTCGGCAGCAGCGCCGGCGGCAGCGGCAGTCTAGGGATCCTAGGCAACAACAGCAACTTAGGGCTTCTAAGTCCTGTGAACGAGCAGCGATTGGTCGCAGGTGTCTCCGCAATTCTCGGCTCGCAATGGAGCCGCCGCCTGCTCCTATTGGCTGTTCTCTTTTTCGCGTGGCTCACGTTCGTTCTGTCGACATTTCTCATGCTGCCACGTGTCCACACACTACAAGCCATCCAGCGGAACAGGCTGCGACGGGAGAATCACGGGCATCGCGTGAGCGGCCTTTTCGGAACGAAAGAGGCGAGTTTTCTGCACGAGGGAAACAAAGGGTCCAGTAAAATACACGATACAGTCCTTCACGGAAACGCAATCGGAAATAAAGGCATTATAGGAACCAGCGGTGCAATTCCCGGTAGAAGCGGGGTCGGTGGAAGCGGCATAGGGATTGACGAGAGGGCTGGAGTGTACAGTTCGCAGAACGTGACAGGGGGAGGGTTCCCAAGTGAAGGCAGCACTGAGGGACTGATTGGAAGTGGCACAGGTTCAGTCTCTAGCGGCAGCGGCAGCAGCAGCAGCAGCAGTAGGAGTAGCGTTGGGGTTGGCAGCAGGGAGGCTGCATTGGACGGGCAGAGGGAGGATGGCACTAACATTGCTGATAGTAACGTGAGAAATGTAGGGGACGGCAGTGACAGTAACGAGAGCGGTGGCGTGGACAGCAGCACGAGCAGCAGTGGTAATGGGCTAGGAGATGAAAATTCAGGTGAAATTTCAGGTATTGGTATAGGTGATGTGAAGGTGGATCAAGAGCAGCTGAAGCAGGAGCTGCTACAGGATGGGGCAGTGGAGGATGATGAGGTGGCAGGAATCCCGGATCTCACTGCTGACCTGGACGAATCCGAGTGGGCCAAGGCGTCAGCACGCAATCGGGAGCGGATAAGTGGGTCCACGTCAGCAGAAGCCGAGACAGGGGTGGGGGATATGACTGGTTCCAGAAGCAGCAACAGCAGCAGAATTAGCATCAGTGACAGGGAGAGTACCAGCAACGCCAGCTACAGTCACAGCAGCACCAGCCGTATTTTCCCAGGAGGGGAATTGCAGCAGCAGCAGCAACAGCGCGGTCCTGTGGTGGTATCAGGGTCGTTAGACAACTCATACTTTGACTTCCCTATCGATGCTGCTGCTGCAGGAGCAGCTGCCTCGCTAGCAGACGAGGAAAACGAGGACGACGGGGTGGAAAGAGGGGAAACGGGGGATATCGGGCAAGCCGGGGAAGCTGGAGAAGCAGGAGGAGCAGGGGAAGCAGGAGGGGCAGGAGGAGAGGGAGGAGAATCCGAGGAGGAGGAAGGGGAAGGGGACGGGGAGGGGGAAATAGAAGACGATGACATGGACTTGTCGTACGATTCAGAGGACGAGTTAGAGGTGGTCCTGCTCCTCCGCATCCCTCGCAACATGGCAGAGCTCCGAGCCGTGCGAGCCACCCTCGCGCTCTACAAGCGAGAGTTTCCGCTCCGAGTCGTCATCATTTTCGTCAATCTCTACCTTTTCCTGCAGTCGTTTTGCATCCCGGGGACTATTTGTATGAACCTGCTCGCCGGGTCGCTGTTCGGGTTTCTTCCGGGGTTATTCACGATTAGTATCCTGATTTCCGCGGGTGCCTGCGCGTCGTACACCATCTCCCATTTTCTCCTAAGAGACATAGTCTACTATTATTTCCCGGATAAGTGTGACTGGATGCGTACCGAGGTCCAGCGGCACTATACGTCTTTAATCTACTATGTCATCTCGCTCCGCATCACCCCCATCATGCCTACCTGGGTTGTCAATCTCTGCTCCCCGCTCGTCGGCATACCCATCCGAATCTACCTCATTGGAACCTTCTTCGGATTCATCCCTTCTAGTGTGATTCAAGTTAAAGCCGGGTGCGTGCTCTCGACTATTAACTCGCTCTCGGATCTCTACGACGCGCCTACTATTGCGGCTTTATTCCTAGTAGCTATTCTGGCCCTCGTCCCGCCTCTTTCCAAGACACTCTGGGCGCAGAGGCTCTGGGCTCAGGCCATGAGTAATAGCACGGTAGCCGCTTTCGTCTCCTTTATAGGCAGCCTCGGTGTTAGCAACAGCGGGGTTGGCAGAGTGACGTACACCCCGCTACGGCCGCACTATAGCGGGATTGGGATGCACAGTGGGGGGGTTGTGAGCAGTGGTAGTGGGAGCAGTGGCGGCTGTGGCAGTGTGGGTGTGAGCAACAGAAGTGGTGGCGGCAGTAGCAGTGGCAGTGTGGGTGTGAGCAGCAGCAGCACAGGGGTTCAGTTGGAGGGTATGGAAGCAGGGATAAGACCGCTAGCTGGAAGCAGAGCAGTGGCAGGGGTGCATGGCCAGTCGCCCTGAGGCAGTTATGCAGCAACGTCAGCAGCAGCAGAAAGTCAACAGTATCAGCCATAGCAGAAGCAGCAGCAGGAGGGTTTAGCTGGAGGGTAAGGAAGCAGGAACCAGACCGCTAGCTGGAAGCAGAGTAGTGGGGGGATGCATGTCAGTCGCCCTGAGAGGCGTTTTGCAGCAGCGTTAGCAGCAGCAGAAAGTCAACAGTATCAGCCACAGCAGCAGTAGCAGCAGCACGGGGGTTCAGCTGGCTGGTAAGGTAGCAGGAACCAGACCGCTAGCTGGAAGCAGAGCAGTGGGGGAAGTGCATGGTCAGTCGCCCTGAGGGAGGAGTTGTGTGCCGTGGTCAGGTCTGGGTGTGGTAGGAGCTGACGCTGCTGCGTCGACAGCAAAAAGCGTCAGCTGTTGCAGCCACAGCAGCAGCTGCACCAGCAGCTGCAGCAGTGGTTGTTGCAGAGTGAGCAGAAGCACAGGAGTTTGGTGGAGTTGAGTTGATAAAATTGATTGCTCCCATTTGGTGGTGGAAGAATGGGTTGGTTTGTGCTACCGTAGTGGCGGAAATCTTTTAAAGTCGGCTTTGCGCATGTTGCCTTTGGTTGCTTGTGTATGTAGGTGACTGAACATGTTTTTTCGTGCTATCCCAGTCTGCAGTTTGCGCACGTGGCTAGTGTTTTGTTGACGGAATCTCAACTGAGGAGCAACAGCTAGAGAGCTGGGTGGATACGAGAGTGGGTTAGACTTTTGAGACGCCTCAAAAGTCGTCTCTGTTCTCGCGGATTTTTGTAGGCGCCTTTTTTTTTTTTTTTTGCAGTTTGCGCATGTGGCTTGTGTTTTGTTGATGGAATCTCAACAGAGGAGCAACAGGTAGAGAGCTAGGTGGATACAAGAGTGGGTTTGTGCCTTGTCTCTGGCTGGTGGGATTTCTTGACCATTGTTTTGAGACCGACCGCATTACTTACTAGGTTCTGCTGCAAGTGGACTGGAGGAGCCCCTGCACCCAAATACACGTATATGTACCGATTTATGGGGTCCCTGCAGGCTTGGCCTTCCCCCATTGGCAAAAGCAACTTTTATAATGCAAACAGACAGACAGACAGCTGCTCTATGGCACTTTCATATCCAGCAGAACTGAGAACTGTATTCTTCTAGATTCTCCGGTACGTATCAGAATCTTTACAAACATTTCTCCAGTACCAGAACCGTAGAAGAAGACTCGGAAGTTTGAGAAACGTTGATAAATAATTAGGCTAATTGGAGGCAGGGTTTCCATAACACTGCGGAGGACTGTGGTGCAGTGCAGCATAACAACATATGAAGCATAACAACATATGAAGCATAACAACATATGAAGCATAACAACATATGAAGCATAACAACATATGAAGCATAACAACATATGAAGCATAACAACATATGAAGCATAACAACATATGAAGCATAACAACATATGAAGCATAACAACATATGAAGCAAAACAACATATGAAGCATAACAACATATGAAGCATAACAACATATGAAGCAAAACAACATATGAAGCATAACAACATATGAAGCATAACAGCATATGAAGCATAATCTAACTTGATCCCCACCGGGCTGTGCTCCCGCCATTGAGCCAGCAATTTGGGTCTGTCTGAGCCAGCACACAATCCGCCCTCTTCACCGCACCACACCGCACTGCATCACAACAGAATCACCGCAGCCACAACCAGCAGCAGAACCAAACCCGCTCCCCTCCTCCCCCGCACCCCTTTCGCGGGCCGATCAAAGTTGTACCTGCCTTTGAGCTGGCTCCCATAGTCGCTGAACCCCTCGCCCTTGAGCCAGCACTTGAGGCGCCTGGGGTCGGACTGAGCCAGCACACACTTATCGTTCTTCTGGCAGCGCTGCACACACGCAGCCGAGTCCAGCCCCTCCCCCCCGCCCACCTCCGGGCCCGTGTAATCCGTGTCCTTGTCCTTGAACTGAAACCCGTACTCTGGGTTGTGTGGGAAGGAGGGGAGGGGGGACGCAGGCGAAACAGGGACAAGGAAGTGGGACGGGGGGGGGGGGGGGGGTGGCGCGGAGACGGGGAGAAGGGGAATAAGGGTAAGCTGCTTCACAATCCACAAGCACGCCTCTCTCCACCGCACCACACCGGTCACAACAGCCGCTTGGGGTCAGACTGAGCCAGCACACACTTATCGTTCTTCTGGCAGCGCTGCACACATGCAGCCGAGTCGAGGCCCTCCCACCCGCCCACCTCCGGACCCGTGTAGTCCGTGTCCTTGTCCTTGAACCAGAACCCATAGTCTAGCTGGGGAGGGATGAGGGGAGTGAGGGAGAGGGAGCGAGGGAGAGAGAGGGAGAGGGACCGAGGGAGAGGGAGCGAGGGAGAGGGAGTGAGGGAGAGAGAGGGAGAGAAGGAATGCACGGAAGCAGCAGTAAAAGTCGAGCTTCACACGCACGCAGCTGAGTCCAGCCCTCCCCCCCCCGCCCACCTCCGGGCCCGTGTAGTCCGCGTCTTTGTCCTAGTCTGGGTTGGGGGAAGGAGGGAGGGGGGAGAGGAAGGAAACGAATGATCCACAAGCATGTCTGCACTCCACCGCACCACACCGCTCCACACTGCACCACAGCTGCTCCACTTGAGTCCAGCCCCTCTTCCCCGCCCACCTCCGGGCCCGTGTAGTCCATGTCTTTGTCCTTGAACCAGAACCCATAGTCTGGGCTATGGGTAAAGAATTAGTGAGTGGAAGAGGGAGGTGGGGGGGAGAAGAAAGAGGGGAAGCAGCAGTACAGGACTTGTTGCACACACACAGCTGAATCCGGCCCCTCCCCTCCCCCCACCTCCGGGCCCGTGTAGTCCGTTTCCATGTCCTTGAACCAAAACCCGTAGTCTGGTTTGCAGGAAGGAAGGGGTTGGGGGGGAAGGGGGAGACCAGGAAAGGGGAGACGAGCAAGGGGACAGGGGTTGGGGTGATGCCCCCGTGTAGTCTGTGTCCCTGTCCTTGAACCAGAACCCGTAGTCTGGTTTGGGGGAAGGGAAGGGAAGGGAAGGGAAGGAGAGGAATGATCCACAAGCATGTCTGCGTTCCACCGCACCACACCGCACCACACCGCTCCACACCGCTCCACACCGCTCCACACCAGCTCCACACCAGCTCCACTTGAATTAAGCCCCTCCCCTCCCCCCACACCCAGGCCCGTGTAGTCCATGTCTTTTTCCTTGAACCAGAACCCGTACTCTGGTTTTCCATTGTCCTTGCACCAGAACGTGTAGTGCGTGCAGTGTGCAGTGTGCAGTGTGTGCAGTGTGTGCAGTGTGTGTAGTGCGTGCAGTGTGTGTAGCTCTCTCTCTGTTCTTTCGTTCCCTTGTCCTTGCACCAGAACGTGTAGTGCGTGCAGTGTGTGTAGTGTGTGCAGTGTCAGTGTGTGTAGTGCGTGCAGTGTGTGTAGTGCGTGCAGTGTGTGTAGCTCTCTCTCTGTTCTTTCGTTCCCTTGTCCTTGCACCAGAACGTGTAGTGCGTGCAGTGTGTGCAGTCCGGACCAGAACCCCCTACTAAAGAAGGCTTTGTGAGCCGAAAATAGTTACCTACCACCAACTTTTTGCTTCACAAGGGATTCTAGAAGCAAGCCTACCACATCAACTAAACAATTTTACTACTAACGTGTAAACAGAGATGTTTTGAGACGTCTCTACTAACGTGCAAGCCTACTAACATCTGTGTTTACACGTGGATTCTAGAAGCAAGCCTACCACATCAACTGAACAACCTTACTACTAAAAAGCTGACTTTTGAGTCGACTCAAAAGTCAGCTTTTCGCTTCACAAGGGATTCTAGAAGCAAGCCTACCACATCAACTAAACAATCTTTTACTAAAAAGTAGCTGCTGCCATGTAAACCTTTCATGGCTCCGATTTGGGGCTCCCTCGGACCATGTTTTGAGTCGACTCAAAACTTGGGCTCCCTCGGACCAAAATCCCCTACGGACTCACCTTTAGGATCGATGCACGTGTTGGGCTGCCCCTGCTGGCACAGGTGCTGCCCACACCCCCCGCTGTCCACATCAACACAGCAAGGGGTGCTGCTGCTGCCTACCCTCCGCACATACCTCCCTCCCCTCACCCACCTTTAGGGTCGATGCACGTGTTGGGCTGCCCCTGCTGGCACAGGTGCTGCCCACACCCCCCGTTGTCCACGGCGCACTTCTTCACAAAAGCCAGGAACCCCGGCATCGTGCTCACTGCCGTGCCGTATTCCTTCTTGAGCACACACCGCTGCACACACGCGAGGCAAAAAAGGGAAGCGGCAGATGAATGAAAAGACTCGGCGCAGCGCACCCCCCAAACCAAACCACAGCGCACTTCTTCGCAAAGGCAAGGAACCCGGCGCTGTGCTCACTGCCGTGCCATAATCCTTCTTGAGCACACACCACTGCACACACACATACACGCACGCACACAGACACACACAGAGATGCACGCACGCACGCACACACACAGCAAATGTCGGATTCGCCATGAGAATTCTCAAAAGGTGACACCTGCCGTCCACTACCGTGCCATACTCCAGCTCGAGTCGACTCAAAAGTCAGCTCGAGTCGACTCAAAAGTCAGCTCAAAAGGTGACAACTGCCATCCACTACCATGCCATACTCCAGCACACACTGCTGCACACGCGCGGGCACGGAACAAGACGACGCTTTAGCAAACGGAACAACAGTGTAAAGCTAGTGGGAAAAAAGTAGTTCTAAAAAACCCTAAGTCTAGCACTCCCTTCGCACGACTCACCGTCCCCGCATGAGTCTGACTGGCAGCACGCACGCACTGAGATGCCTTACAGCAAATCCAAAACTCCAACACACACACACACACGCACGCACGCACGCACGCACGCACGCACGCACGCACGCACGCACGCACGCACGCACGCACGCACGCACGCACGCACGCAGGCACGCACGCACGCACGCACGCACGCACGCACGCACGCACGCACGCACGCACGCACGCACGCACACACACACACACACACACACACGCACACACACGCACACACACGCACACACACACACACACACACGCACACACACACACAAACACGCACACACACGCACACACACGCACACACACGCACACACACGCACACACGCACACACACACGCACACCCAATCACGCACCTGCATGCCGGGCACGTATTGCGCTGTGACGCACGGCCCGGGGTACGTCTGGCAGCGGTGCACACACTCGGTGGCGTCGATGTCTTCAATGATGGCGTCGTCCGGTACTAGCTCGCCCGTGAGGTCCCACGAGGAGTTGGTGGGCGAGATGAACCCCATGGCTGCAAGGTGGGATGGGGTTGGGTGCAGTGCAGTGCGGTGGAGGGCGGTTAAGCACGGGCAGCGGCACACGCACTCAGTGGCGTCGATGTCTTCAATGATGGCGTCATCTGGTACCAGCTCGCCCGTGAGCTCCCACGAGGAGTTGGTGGGGGAAATAAAACCCATGGCTGAGTGTGGTGGGGTATGGTGGGGTGCGGTAGGGAGGGGTGGAGTGCGGTGGAGGGTGGTTAAGCATGGGCAGCGCCTGACACACTCAGTGGCGTCGATGTCTTCAATGGTGGCGTCGTCCGGCACCAGCTCGCCTGAGAGATCCGTTGAGGAGTTGGTGGGGGAGATGAACCCCATGGCTGGTTTGGGGTGGGGTGGGGTGGGTTGAAATGCGGTAGGGTGCGGTAGGTTGGGGTGTTATTAGGGAGGATGACACTCAGTGGCGTCAATGTCTTCAATGGTGGCGTCGTCCGGCACCAGCTCGCCTGAGAGCCCCATGGCTGCAAGGCGGGGAGGGGCGCAGTGCGGTGGGGAGTGGTAGAGAGGGGTGGGTGGAGGAGTTGGTCGGGGAGATGAACCCCATGGCTGGGGGAAGGGGAGGGGCGGGGTGCAGTGCGGTGGAGGGTGGTCAAGTATGGTGATGCTGCACACACTCAGTGCCCTGGGTACGCCTGGCAGCAGTGCACGCACTCAGTGGCGCCAATGTTGTTGATAATGGCGTTGTCCGGCACCAGCTCGCCTTTTGAGGCGCCTCAAAAAGACTTTTGAGACGACTTTTGAGGCTCCTCAAAAGTCACTCAGTGGCGCCAATGTCGTTGATGATGGCGTCGTCCGGCACCAGCTCGCCTGAGAGCTCCCACGAGGAGTTGAACCCCATGGCTGCAAGGTGGGATGGTTTGCAGTGCGGTGGGGGGCGGTAGAGTGGGGTGGGTGGTGATAATGGCGTCGTCCGGCACCAGCTCGCCTGAGAGCTCCCACGAGGATTTGGTCGGGGAGATGAACCCCATGGCTGCATGGTTGGAGTGCGGTGGGGTGAGATGGTGTGCGATGCGAGCATGATGGCACTGTCAGGCACCAACTCTCCAAAATCTTCCATAGATTTGGGAGATAAAACCCCATGGCTGGGTGCGGTGGGGTAGGGTGGGGTGGGTTGGGGTAGGTTAAGGTGGGGTGCAGTGCGGTGAGGCGTGGTAGGTTGAGTGTGGTTAAGGATGATGAGAAGGGGGAGCGGGAGAGGGACGGGGAAGAGGTGACGAGAGTCTTACAGGTCGAGTCGCTGCATAGAAAGCTGGCTTGCGCTGGTTCTGCTGGCTCCAGCTGGTTCTATTCTAACAATAGTAAATATTTTTCTGACAACTTACAGGTCGAGTCGCTGCATCGAAAGCTGGCTCGCGGCGCGTTAGGGTCCGAGAAATCCGTCGGGCACGGCGCGCAGAGCGCGCTGCCATTGGTCGAAGTATTAACGCACGACGACGAGAAGCACGGTAGCGCGAACGCCGTGGCGCTCGGGCTGCGCGCCGGCTGGCGATTAACGGCGGATTTTAGCGCGCACCCGCCTGCGTCGCTAACGACGGCTAGGAGACACTGCTCGCGGTCGTAGTTTAAGCACCGCCGTTGGCACTCCGCCGGGGAAATAGGTCCGTCTATGTACTCTAAGTCGTTTCCCGGATAGTCCTTGTTTGGCGGGAGCTCTGCTAGGCCATACTGATTGGAGCTTAGAACTTCGCAGGTCTGCGCCGCGGCGCGAGGGAGGGAGGTGAGCGAGAGGAACGGCGCGTGGCCGGAGATTGCTATAACGAGGATGGCGAGGAGGAGAAGTTTCGGGGATACTAGGTAGGTGTCTGAAAGGCGGCGATAGGAGCGAGATGGGCGAATGGAGGGGGAAGAGGAGTGATGGGAGGAAGGGACTGAGTAGCGAGGTGACTTTTGAGTCGACTCAAAAGGGGCTGAGTAGCCTGAATGAGAGTCAGAATAACCTGAATAAATAAGGTAAAGTTGGGAAACCCCTAGTGAGTCGCTCTGTTGGAGACTAGTACGCTGATATGGAAAATTATGGCGGTTAGGGAATGGTGGAACAGGATGTTGCATCGAGCTCTCTGCGCGTCGCGGAGCCATGTAGCTGCAATGGGATAATTGAAAGGTTGTGATGGTAGGAACTTTCGGGTGGACTCGATAGTAGTTTGTTATACGGGTCACGTGAGGGGAGAGTACGGGTATGGAGGTTGTAATGCAGTCCCGGACGATACTTGTTCTAACTGGAAAAAGCGCGGCTTGGTAAGCGTTAGTGGCTACCCTCCGGAACGGGAGACTCCTGTGCTACTCTTATAATGGCACTAATTTGGGGTCCGGAGGCGTAAGTTCAGCCACGGAGCACAATTATTACCGTTGAGCACATAATCGATGGTCAAGAATGAGAGCGATTATTGCATGGTCTGGAAGAAATGACACACAATGCGATCAGCGGGGAGCTCGAGACTTACTAGTGGAGTGGAGAGCTCCTAAAAATGCTCCACTAAACCATGGACTAGGCTCGGTTTGCACAGAAATCTCCTTTGCCCACTCGGGTTACTTTTCTCGTTTATTTCGTGAGCTCGGCTTGCCCCGAAACTGTACCAGGCGCGAGGTTCGCGAAATCTCGTCTGGTCAGACTTGGATGTCGCCGACAAGGCTCGGCACTTGCGCAGTCGAAAGGTTCCTTTCGGTGGTTCGGTTCGGCACACCATCCAGCCAGCCAGGCTGTTCGGTTTCCGCGTCGCTGCTCGGTGCTGCAGGCTCGTCAGTGTGTCAGAGCTGCCTGGCGACGATACACGACGCGTTACTAATGCCCGAAACTTTGTCGCAAGTGCTCAATTTCCTTACGGCAGAAATTGATGTGTAGTTTCTGGTTTACCCTGAAAATAGAGGTGGAAACCGAGTAGAAGAGCGAAAGTACACCGTAATTGTTGAACTCTCCAAAGCCCCAAGAAAAATCCCCAAACACTAAACCCTGAGGTATTTCTGCATTTGAGCCCAGTAGCAAATTTCGGCGTCTCGTTTTTCTTTTAGGCTTCAGACTGGGTAGTTCCACACTATCCTTACCATCTGTATCCCAGTTAGGTTGTTATTCCCCCTCCTCGCTCCACTTAGGCCCTCAGGAGGAACGCTAGGGGGTTAACCAGAAGCAAATTCGGAAAGGATACAGAAAAGTATATATAGAGTTCAAATCAGAAGCGAAAGGGGGGGTGGAAGGAGCGCAGGCATGGCCGCTGAAGGGCCGTCGATGGCTGTTGCAGAGGCGGGGGTGGAAGGAGCGCCCACGGGCGGAGCGGCGGGCGGAGCGGCGGAAGCGGGGGTGATCTTCGTGCTGGAAAAGGCGTCGCTCGAAGTCGCCAAAGTCGGAAAGGTCTCGCCAACCCCCCCTCCCTCTCCCACCCCTCCCAGCCCCCCGCCCACCCCCTTCCCCCCAACCCCTTTTGAGACGTCTTAAAAGGGAGGGGCGGTGGAAGCGGGGGTAAACTTAGTGTTGGAAAAAGCGTTGCTCGAAGGCGCCAAAGTCGGAAAGGTCTCTCCTCTCCGCGCTTCGTACCGCCGTCGTGCTTTTGGAGACGACAGTTCCTTTCGAAACCCTCCCTCTCCCCCTTTTATACCTCTCCCCTCTCCCCCCCTCAACCCCCCTCTCTCCATCCTTTCTCCCCAACTTCTCCCCCCCACCCCCCTCCCCCCCTTAAAACCGCTTCCTTGTCGCCCCCAGGCGTACGTGTTGCTCAGCTGCGACGACCACGCCAGCATCCTTCTCTTCTCAACCCCCCCTCCCCCCTTCCCCCCATCTCCCCCCCATCTTCCCCCACTCCCGCGCTCCCCGCACCCCGCCCTCCCCTTCTCCCCCAGGCGAACGTGCTGCTCAGCTGCCACGACCACGCCAGCATCCTCGTCCTCCTCAGTTACTTCTTCGCCATTATTCGCCAAAACCCCGAACCCCACCCCCCCCACAACCCCCCCAGGCGTACGCGCTGCGCAGATGCGACGACCCCGCCAGCTTCATGCGCCTCTCCACTTGCCAAAACCCTCAACCCCCCCTCCCCCCTGCCCCCCCTCCCCCCTGCTCCCCCTCTCCCCCCACTCCTCTCCCCCAGACATACGTGCTGCTGAATTGCGACGACCACGCCAGCTTCCTCTTCTCCTCAGGTACTTATTCGCCACAATCCGAAACCCCGTTCCTCCTCCTCCCCCCCCCCCCCCCCCCTCCTCCCCCCCCCTCTCCTTCCCCCCCTCTCCTTCCCCCCCTCTCCTTCCCCCCCTCTCCTTCCCCCCCTCTCCTTCCCCCCCCCCTCCTTCCTCCTCGCCCCCAGACGTACGTGCTGCTGAATTGCGACGACCACGCCAGCTTCCTGCGCAAGCACGGCAAGGACCCCGCGCTCTACCGCCCTGACATCTGCCACCAGGTGGGTGCGAGTAGGTGCGACCAGGGAAAGGTGCGGGCAGGTTTGTCAAGGTGTGAGCAGGTGTGTGGCAAGCACGGCAAGGACCCCACGCTCTACCGCCCTGACATCTGCCACCAGGTGGGTGCGAGGAGGTGCGAGGAGGTGCGAGTAGGTGTGTGGTGCCGCAGAGGTGTGGCAAGCATGGAAAGGACCCCGCGCTCTACCGCCCGGACATATACCACCACCAGGTGTGAGGGGGTTTGACTCGGTGCAAGCAGGTGTATCGTGGAAGCAGAGGTGTGCCAGGTCCCTGCGCTTTATCGCCCCAATACCCAGCCCTTCTGGACAGCCCATTGAATAAGGCAGGGCGGCTCAAGGCCTTTCACGTGACCACCACGCGCAACACACTCATCCAAGTCAACCCCTCCCACATCCGCATTCCCCCCTTCTGCTCCCCTCCCCCCATTCCCCCCTCCCTCCCCCCCTCCTTTTCCCAACTCTCTTCCCTGCCCCACACGCGCCCTACCTTCCCCCTCTCCCCCACGCCACTCCCAGGCGCTGCTAGCCATTTTGGACAGCCCGTTGAATAACGCTCGGCGGCTCAAGGCCCTCTATGTGGCTCAAGGCCCTCTATGTGGCTCAAGGCCCTCTATGTGGCTCAAGGCTCTCTATGTGGCTCAAGGCTCTCTATGTGGCTCAAGGCTCTCTATGTGGCTCAAGGCTCTCTATGTGGCTTAAGGCTCTCTATGTGGCCACCACGCGCAACACACTCATCCAAGTCAACCCCCACGTCAGCATCCCCCTCCTCTGATGCCCCTTCTCCCCCACACTTGTCAGGCGCTTCTAGCGATACTAGACAGCCCGTTGAATAAAGCTGGAAGGCTCAAGGCTCTCTATGTGGCCACCACGCGCAACACACTCGTGCAAGTTAACCCCCACATCCGCATTCCCCGCACGTTCCGCCGCTTCTGCGGGCTCATGGGTGGGTGGGAGGAGGAAGGGAGAGGGGGTGGGTGGGTGGGTGGGTGGGTGGGTGGGCAGGGTCGGTAATTGAGGGGCCTGAAACGGCACCCCCCACATCCGCATTCCCCGCCCGTTTCTGCGGGCTCATGGGTGGGTGGAGGAAGGGCGGAAATTAGGTGGAGTGGGGTTGGGAGATTGAGTAGACCTTTCATGGGTGAACACGTTTTGCACTCTCATAGGGGCATGTGGGTGAAATGTGTGGGCATGTGATTGAAATGTGTGGGCATGTGATTGAAATGTGTGGGCATGTGGGTGAAATGTGTGGGCATGTGATTGAAATGTGTGGGCATGTGATTGAAATGTGTGGCCATGTGGGTGAAATGTGTGGGCATGTGATTGAAATGTGTGGGCATGTGGGTGAAATGTGTGGGCATGTGATTGAAATGTGTGGGCATGTGGGTGAAATGTGTGGGCATGTGATTGAAATGTGTGGGCATGTGGGTGAAATGTGTGGCCATGTGATTGAAATGTGTGGCCATGTGATTGAAATGTGTGGGCATGTGATTGAAATGTGTGGCCATGTGATTGAAATGTGTGGGCATGTGATTGAAATGTGTGGGCATGTGATTGAAATGTGTGGGCATGTGATTGTAATGTGTGGGCATGTGATTGTAATGTGTGGGCATGTGATTGAAATGTGTGGGCATGTGATTGAAATGTGTGGGCATGTGATTGAAATGTGTGGGCATGTGATTGAAATGTGTGGGCATGTGATTGAAATGTGTGGGCATGTGATTGTAATGTGTGGGCATGTGATTGAAATGTGTGGGCATGTGATTGTAATGTGTGGGCATGTGATTGTAATGTGTGGGCATGTGATTGAAATGTGTGGGCATGTGATTGTAATGTGTGGGCATGTGATTGTAATGTGTGGGCATGTGATTGAAATGTGTGGGCATGTGATTGAAATGTGTGGGCATGTGATTGAAATGTGTGGGCATGTGATTGAAATGTGTGGGCATGTGATTGTAATGTGTGGGCATGTGATTGAAATGTGTGGGCATGTGATTGAAATGTGTGGGCATGTGATTGAAATGTGTGGGCATGTGATTGAAATGTGTGGGCATGTGATTGAAATGTGTGGGCATGTGATTGAAATGTGTGGGCATGTGATTGAAATGTGTGGGCATGTGATTGAAATGTGTGGGCATGTGATTGAAATGTGTGGGCATGTGATTGAAATGTGTGGGCATGTGATTGAAATGTGTGGGCATGTGATTGAAATGTGTGGGCATGTGATTGAAATGTGTGGGCATGTGATTGAAATGTGTGGGCATGTGATTGAAATGTGTGGGCATGTGATTGAAATGTGTGGGCATGTGATTGAAATGTGTGAGCATGTGATTGAAATGTGTGGGCATGTGATTGAAATGTGTGGGCATGTGATTGTAATGTGTGGGCATGTGATTGTAATGTGTGGGCATGTGATTGAAATGTGTGGGCATGTGATTGAAATGTGTGGGCATGTGATTGAAATGTGTGGGCATGTGATTGAAATGTGTGGGCATGTGATTGAAATGTGTGGGCATGTGATTGTAATGTGTGGGCATGTGATTGAAATGTGTGGGCATGTGATTGTAATGTGTGGGCATGTGATTGTAATGTGTGGGCATGTGATTGAAATGTGTGGGCATGTGATTGTAATGTGTGGGCATGTGATTGTAATGTGTGGGCATGTGATTGAAATGTGTGGGCATGTGATTGAAATGTGTGGGCATGTGATTGTAATGTGTGGGCATGTGATTGAAATGTGTGGCCATGTGATTGAAATAGCTCTCTCTTCCCCTTCTCTATTTCCTCCCTCCAACATCCCTCTATCCTGCTCAGTTCATTCGTTTCCCGTTCCCTTTTTTTCTCTCTCTCTCTCTCTTTCTCTCTCCCCCACTCCCTTTCCTCCTCTACCAACAGTTCAGCTGTTGCAGAAGCTATCCATACGCGCTACAAACGGGCCTGATAAGCTCCTCAAGGTCATCAAGCACCCCGTCACTAAATACCTACCGCCCGGGTGCAGGAGAATAGGTGAGCTATTAGTACTGGCTTGGGTCTGAATCACTCTCCCACCCACCTCTGGTAAGCTCCTACATCAGGCATCCTGTCACCAAATTATGAAGAATAGGTGAGCTCATCGTACAGCTGCCCTAAATCTGAATCACTGCAACAACCGCCACGCACCACTCCTCCCAACCTCAACTATAATTATCCCCTCCTTTTCTCCCATCTTCTCCCCGCATCAGGCTTGGAGTACAGTGCGCAGAAAGTGGTTCATCTGAGCCAGTTCTTATATCCTGTTGTGCTTCCCCTCTTGACCTTAGTCTTTGCTCCTTGTGCTCCTCTCCCCTCCCCCCATCAGGCTTGGAGTACAGCGCACAGAAGGTGGTGCATCTGTGCCACTCGTAGTTTGTGTTTCCCCCTCCTGACATCCTCTCTTCCCATCTCCCCTGTTCCCTCTTTTCCCTCGCATCAGGCTTGGAGTACAGCGCACAGAAGGTGGTGCATCTGTGCCACTTCCCTCAGCTCTTTCCACTCCCCTCCTCCCCTCCCATCCTCTCCCCTCCCCACTTCTCCCTCCCCGCATCAGGCTTGGAGTACAGTGCGCAGAAGGTGGTTCATCTGAGCCAGTTCTTATATCCTGTTTTGCTTCCCCTCTTGACTCCCCTCCCCTCCTCACCTCCCTCCATCCCACCCCTCCTCCCCCCCCCTCCCCCTCCCCGCATCAGGCTTGGAGTACAGTGCGCAAAAGGTGATGCATCTGCGTCAATTCTTATGCCTTTGTGCTTACCCCTCCTGACATTCACTCCTCTCCTCTCCTCCCCTCTCCTCTCCTCTTCCCTGTTCCGTTTTTCCTCGCATCAGGCTTGGAGTACAGCGCACAGAAGGTGGTGCATCTGCGTCAATTCTTAAAAACAACCAACTCAGAGACACTAGTCTTTGTGGTGAGCTTAGAAAACCCATGGTTCTGTATCTCCTCTCTTCCCCTCTTTCTCATGACTCCTCCACCCCCCCGCCCACACTCTCCCCCTTCCCCCCCCCGGCTCCCCCCTCCCTTCCCTCCCACCACCTCCTTCCCCACTCAAGAACACTCGTTTTGTTTCTCTTCTTCCTCGTTAGTATATCTGTTATGACCAGTACGTGTTTGTGTTTTATTTTGTCGACCAACTCATGCATTATAGCATATGTGCCATGCTGTGCTTTTAGTATGCGTCTCCTTTCTCCCTCCCCCTTGGTCCAACATTGTGGTGCAACAGGTGGGGGCGATGGCTAGTGGTGACATCAGTAGTCTTTTTTTTAGGCGCCCCAAAGTAGTATGCGTTCCTTTGCCCATCCCTCCCCCTTGGTCCTACTTTGTGGCATAACAGGTGGGGGCAATGGCTAGTGGTGACATCAGCAGTGACTATGTGGATGAGATGATTGCTGGTGAGTTGAGAGGGGTGGGGAGGGGTACAATCGGGTCTACTCAATACACACAGGGATGGTGACATCAGTAGTGACTATGTGGATGAGATGATTGCAGGTGAGTGGAGGGGAGGGGGGCGGGGGGGTAGTTCTGGGTCGATTCAAAGCACACAAACCAGGCGGGAGTTGACCCGAAACAGGTGGGGGCAATGGCTAGTGGTGACATCAGTAGTGACTATGTGGATGAGATGATTGCAGGTGAGTTGAAAAAGGGGGAAGGGAAGGAGAGGGGGTGGCAACTTGAGTGATTGAGGGATTCTAGTGGATCTAAAACGCATGAGAGGAAGGGGAGGGGGGGGGGAGGAGGGGAGGGAGGGAGTGGCAGCGTGAATGGAGTGTGTGTGGTGGAAGGGGAGGGGGAAGGAAGGATGGGGGTCACGGCTATAGTGACTTCAGCAGTGACTATGGGGAAGGAAGGATGATTGCTGTTGAGTTGGTTCGTTAATGGATGGCATGGGATTGCACAGATGTGGACACATCTAGCCTTCTCTTCTCTTATCGCGTCTCTTGCATCTCATCACTTTTCTTTCATCGTCTGCTGCCCCGGTTCCTTTCCCCTCTTCCGTTATTTTAGTAATGTTTTGCTTGCCTGCTTCTCTCTTGTTTCCTGTTTGCCCTTCTTTCCTCTCGTCTGTTACCCCACCCCTTCAGTTTCGGAATACCCACTAAGCGCAGCCACTTGCTTGTCTCGCTTGTGTACTACACTGGAACTAAAGTGGGGAATCTTATAGGTTATACATTGGGGGCAGTATAAACATTTTTGTTCACCATTATTGAATAAAGTGGGGCTCATAGTATTTCTGTACATCATTGCAGCCATATCCTCGTCCGGGAAAAAATACTACACAATTGCAGCTGTTCTGCACACATGGGAATTCTTTATGGAAGAATACTCTTACGGTAATCCTGTGGTAGAAAACAATGGTGTGTACACGTCATCAATCAGTTTGCAGCATATTGCGTTCGAGCTGATATCGGATCGCTGTCGTTATCGATGGCTGTCCTTGTGAAGGCTGTTGGTGCGTTACTCCCACAGTGCAAGCAACTGCAAGTCATGTTGCAAGCGCACGTGGTTGCGAGACTGATCGCTGCGAGACGCCAAGGGGAGTGGAAGTTGCGAGGAGAGATCTAGTCAAATGCTGACATCATAATCGAAGTGTTCACGGTCAGTCATTAGACGTTTTCCGTCCAAATGTTGCTACACTGTACAGAGATAACTGCACCCTCTTTCGCAATAAAATTGTTTTGGCTGCTTGAACTTTGGTGAAAGTAGAGGAAGGTATATTCTAAAGGCGCGAGTGTGTGTATTTGTCTGCCCAAGATTGCCTTGCTTGAGAGGTGCGATTGACGGCGCCCTTCAAATCCCGCATCATCGTCTCTGCACGGGTGCTTCACTGTCACTGAGGATGGCTGACGTTGCCATACTCCTGGGTGGCTGAAAAATGTTGACTGATGTTGAAGCATTTGTCGGTATGGAAGAGTGTTCTCCGCTTCCGTCGACCTGTCCCTTTTGGCCCCTCTCTCCTTCCACAGCACCTGCAGCCCGATCCCAAACCAATCCCAATCCCGGCTCCGCTCATCCTCCCCCCCAACTGGCACTGGCTGGGCAGAACTGCCAAGATGCGGAAACGTTCCTCCCCCACCCTTTGCCCTCCCCACTTCTCCCATGTGATGGAAACCTGTCTGGCGCCCCCCATCAAACTTCCCTTCCTGTCGGCCCACCTGATGGCTTCGTGTGCTGGATGATCGGCTGCCCCAGTTTTAGCAGTCCACAGTTCCTAAATTCTCTGTCCTACTGGTTCTCCTACACTTCGAATGTAGGTTGCCTGGCACATCCTTCCTTTGATTCAAACCTGGTTGAGGAAACAGGTTTTATTTACAGTGGTTGAGTTGTGGAGGGTGGTATTAAAAAACAATACTTCTACTTTCATCTCCGCTTCTCATCTCGTTGTCACTTCTGCTTGCTGCTGCTGCTCTCCCTTCCGGGGGGCCTCCATCCACCACCTCATCGCCTTCGGTTTCCTGTCTCCTCAGCATCCCCCGTCCTGCCGCCACCTGTGATGTGAGTGGGCCCCTGTCCCGCGGCTCACTCTCTCCATCCCATCAGCCGACCGACGCTGCTGCGGGGTGTGAGAGCTGCTCCCAGGCTTGCAGCTCACTCCGAGAGTTCGGCTTTGCGTGCTTCAGTCACCTCCCTAAACAGTGACTGTTCATAAGGATGGGCTCGAGTTCTTTTCCGTCCAGCACAGCAAAGTGCAAGTCAGAACAGCCGCTGCTCCCAGAAGCACCCACCCACACAATCTCGATTTGCGCAAGACACGGTCGACCAACTGGCTCCACACTGGAAACGAAGCGCCGTGACCGACGCTTGAAGTGTCTCTCTCCGGCACACGCAATCTTTCTCCGCTGGGTGTTGCCACCTACTGCACTACACGACTAATAGAAATAGTCGCCACTCCTCTCTGCGGGTCCCACTCTTTCCCCCACGGTTTTCGAGTCCTTTCACCGTCCTCCCACCTACCTCGCGGTCTTGCTTTAATCGCACGCAAGATATCGGAAAGTCGAAGGAGACTACCCCCGACAAGTGCCAATCGCGCCACGTGCTCCCGCAGCGCCCTACCCAGCCGTATTAAGCCGTCATTTTTTTTTACGCACGTAGAAAACCTCGAATTGCTGCCGTCGACGTCAACAAATCACAAAGCAGGCCAATTTTAACATTATTACTGAGACTGAACGCACCGTCGCAATAATTTCAGGAGACACGAGACGAAAAAAATAAGAAAACTGCAGAATTGCGTCTATTCCTCCCACCCTTCGCGACGGCGCGAAGCCAGTCAACCTGGCGACTCTAACTCTTCCCATGGTGCCAGCCAGACTGGGGATATTTCCACCAGCGCCGGACTGGGAGCAACAGCCGCAGCCCGCCTCGCCGCAACCCCCGCCACTGCTGTCACCCGTCGCACCGCCTCCTTCCGCGGCGATTGAGGCGACGCCTGCGATGGCGACGGACGACGGCGACGACGACGACGACGACAGCATGCTACCGCCCGGATTTCGCTTCCACCCGACGGACGAAGAGCTTCTGTGTTATTACCTTCGGCGACGCGTGGACAACCGTCGCATAAGCTTCAATGTGATGGGCGACATCGACTTGTACAAATTCGAACCTTGGGATCTCCCCTCGCGCGCCTCGAGTCCTCTAATGGGGAACGACGAGTGGTTCTTTTTCACGCCGCGCGACCGGAAATACCCGTCCGGGCTGCGGTCGAATCGCGCCACGCCTGCGGGGTATTGGAAGGCGACCGGGAAGGACCGGCCCGTGTTCGCCGCGAATCGCGGAGGAGGAGGAGGGGGCTCGAGCAGTGGCGGTGGAGGTGGAGGTTCCGGCGCGACGACGGTTATTGGCTTCAAAAAGACGCTCGTTTTCTATCGGTAAGGACGACTCGCGTTTCATGGTTTAGCGGGTTCGAAGTTTGATTGAATTGAAACCCCTCTTCGTACCATCCAATTCCAATTGGTTCGGCGGTTGGAGTGAAAATTGTGAAAATTTGTGAAATTATTTCGACGCTCAATTTCTTCAATTTGTGAAAATTGGCTTTGTTTGAACCCTCCCCCTCCCCGCCTCCCCGGTCCCGATTTGATCAGGGTTTCGCGGAGAAACGACGCTAGAAACTCTCTCTGGCAGGAGCGTCGTCGCATTATCGCATGTCTTTCGCATGTTGTTAGCCATTCGCAAGGGCCCTTTCTTATACGATCTTTTCCTGTCGTTTCTCCCCGCCCCCCTCGTTCCCCATCCCCCCCGTTTTCCAATTCCTCTCAGCGGGCGTGCGCCAGCAGGCGAGAAGACGGAATGGGTGATGCAGGAGTACCGCCTACCCGACAGCTCCGACGACATCGCCAGCCTAATGCTGCCGGCCGGCAGTTCCGCCGTCAGCGCTGACGTCACCATCTCCGCGCCTCCGTCGCCGTCCGCGTCGGGCTGGCAGAGCGCAAGCGGCCCGTCGGGAATGACTCTGTCACAGTGGGTGGTCGTGCGCGTGTACACGCGCGGCGCGCCTCCGCAGCAGGCGCAGCCTGGGCAGGGCGGCGGAGGAAGCGGGGGGCGACTAGCCGCGCCCGGGGGCTTGGGTCACGCGCTCCAGGCGCACGCGGAAAGAGCCGCGGGAAAAGCGTTGAAAGCGGGAAAGGTGGGAAAGTCGGAACTGGTAGAGGAGCCAGAGCAGCAGCGGATGATTTTGGATTCTGGCGGCAGCGGCGGAAGCGGAAGCTTCCCGTTAGTATGTGGGCTGAGCGCGGAGAGGGGGGAAATGGGCTCCGTTCCGCAGTCTCCGCTCGTGTCCCCGCGTTTTCCTCTTCCGCAGGCTCACTTTCCGATTAGTCCGCGCCAACCTCCCGCAAGCAGGAGCGCAAGTGCTGCTATTTCCGCAGGAGCTTCCGCCGCCGCTTCCGCCGCTGCTTCCGCCGTTGCTTCCGCTACTTCTGGTGCAGGCGGAATTGCCCCAGTCGGAGCCGCCGGTCCTGCGCCTGGTTCAGCTCTCAACAGCCTTCGGAAACTTTTTTCTGCCCGGTCTTCCCAAACCGCGCCCCTGCCCGTGCTTCAGAAGGGGCCTTCCGCAATTGACCGGGCAGTTACTGTAGCTATCGGAGATTCTGCCAACCAATCAGGAATCGCTGCGACTTCGAATGTAACTAACGTGGGTTTCGCGAACGCCAATCATGGTCTCGCAAATCAATCAGCAGGTTCGAGTCCCACAGGTTCGGGAGCTGTAACGAATCAATTTAATTCGAGCCTGTTGCTTGGGGCAATGTCAAACCTGACGCGGTTCAACTCCCCAGCAATCCCAAGGGGCAATTCTTTACCATCTGACATAACTGCAGGCCTGGGTTCGAATCCTGCCAGACACATTTCAACACTTGCAAGAGCTCAAAGCTTGGCGCAATCAACTGTTATGGAGGAGTCAGGCGAAGGGGAAGAGGAGAATCAAGGGCAGGTTGGGGCGACCGAGCGAAGCACAGAGGCGCAGCTGGCAAGCGGGCAGAAAAACGGGCAGAAAGCCGGGCAGGAAAGAGGGCAGGAAAGCGGACAGGGAAGCGGGCAGGGAGGTGGAGGAAACGAATCTGCAGAGGCATTTTCGAAGCTTCTTGCCGAGTACGTGTCAGGGCAGGGAGACAATGATGGGCATGCGAATATTTTCTCCTGGCAGACGGACCCAGCAGCCACGACAAGCGTGTTCCCCGCGTGCCAGGAGCAGCAGATGCAGCAGAGTGAGGAGGCACAAGGGACAGGGCGGTGTGAGGGGGGAACTCAGGAGACTCAAGAGACGCATGGAAAAGAGAGGGCGGACGCTCAGGCTGCCGCTGGGGAAGCATCCGAGAAGCAGCACAACCAGGTCCAGCAACATGAGAACCAGGCAAGACCCATGCTACGTCGCCTGCAGCGGTCAAACGCTGCCGAGATTGAGCCTCTCGAGGACCTGATTGGCCCACAGAGCCCTTCAAGCCAGGGCCTGCAGCAGCCGCATCAACAGATCCAGCAGCAGGAGCAACAGCAGCCCACAATCTCTCCTGCTCTGACCCCAGGCCTGGGAACCCCACCCGCAGCAGCCACTCCCCTGCCCGACCCTTTTCTGGCTGTGCCAACCCCATCCTCTGCACTGACCACTCCTGGTATGCCTCGGGATCTTCTCGGACTTGAAACCCTAATGACGCCCATGGATCTGACTGCTACTGGCTGGTGGGCTGCTGCCGATGCTGCTGCTGCGGCTGCTGTTGCTATTGCTGTTGCTCCTCCTGGCGCTGCTGCTGCTGGTGGTGGCGGTGCCGCCGGTGCTTCTTCTGCTGCTGGTGATATCACTGTTGCTGCTGGTAATGCTGCGGCTGGGGGTGCTGATACAGGTGCTGCTGCTGGTAACCTCTCACCTTTTTCCGCCATGGGTTCTGGTGTTGGAGTTGGTAATTTCGGGGGTTACAGCGGTTTTTCAGCGTTTGGCAATGGCAGCGGGCACTTGTCTTTTTTCGACAGCCCGTTCAGGTTCGGCACTCCCGCTCCCACAGGGGCTGATTGTGGGGCTGCGAATGCCTGGACGGCTGCCGTTGTTGCTGCTGCTGCTGCTGCTGCTGGTGCCGATGCTGCTGCTGCTGGTGGTGCAGATGCTGCTGCTGCTGCCACTGATGCTGCTGCTGGTACTGCTTCCGCTGTTGCCACTGGTGCTTCTGGCCCTGCTCCCACAGGAGCTGATTCAGGGGCCCGGTTCCGAGGGAGCGAGTGTGCAGCGCAAGCCAGTGGCAGCGTCAGTGAGAGTGGCAGTGAGCTGAGTTCCCCGTGCACTAACACCACTCACACCCCCCCCACCGCCTCTGCGAGTGATGGTGAATTCGCAGGGGAAGTGGCCGGTCCTGCTGCTATTGCAGCTGAGTCGCTTGCTGCAGACAATAGTGCCGCTGAGTCAAACCTTTCAGCAACGCAGCTCCCACACCAGCAATGTTTGCTACAGCAGCAGCATTTATCCACTGCCGCTGCAGCCGCAATTGCTTCTGACCGTTTTTCCATGCTCTCCTCCCCTCCTCTACCGCCTGGGATGATGTCAGAGCTCACCGAGCTGCTTCTACACTCGGCAGTTGCCCAGCCTAGTGACTCAGGCTCGGGGCCAGCAGGGTCGGAAGCAGGCTCGGCGCAAGCGTGCAGTGAAGGGAAGGATGGTGGTGCAGGACAAATCATTAGGCAGTTCCAGCAACCACTGTGGGCGACTAAGGCACACCAGCAGCAGCAGCAGCAGCAGCAGCGCCAGCTGGAGCAAGGGCATGAGAAGAATGGAGCACAGGGAAGAAAGCAGGTTCGGTCCCCGAAGCGGAGTCGAGGGGAGGGTGAGTTTGAGGGGCTGATGGTGATGGAAGCAGGTGGAGCTGCTGATGGGGTTTCAATGGAGGCAAGCCTGGTTCGGCCCTTGTCCAAGCGAAGGAGCTTTGTTGCTGAGGAGATTGAGGATGGTTCGGGTGGATTGAGTGCGGTGAAGGAGATCAGCCTGGGAGAGGAGGGAGGTGTGGGGGAGAACTCACAGCCTGATATTCTCAATATGCTGAAGCAGATCTTGGGGTGAAAAATGGTCGTTTGCTTGTGCCCTGCGGGACCATGGCTTACGGTAGTCCTGGCACAACTTAGCTGCTTGTTTCATCTTGCGTACATATCCCCTTACCTGCTTTGTGTTCACTTTTTGTTTAATAGCGGCCATTTTATGGTCAAGATCATATTTTCTGCTTCCTTCAAGGCCATTGTAGTAGTGCCATATAAATTACTAATGATGAGCTAAATGTTGGGTTGAGAAAAGCCCTTAGTATCCTTTCCAAGTCTAAGGGTACATTCCGCTGTGGACACTGTCCCAATCGATGTGTCCCAATCGATTGTGACGCGTACGTACAGCATATGCTGCCAGGTGTCAGAATGCCGGGCCGCCCGTGGTTGTCGCCAAATGTATTTATCATTGGGGGACGTGAAACACGGAGCGGTCGCCAGCTAATTGCAACACAATCCATCAGTCGCACGCGGTGCCAAATGTCAACACATGCAGCATGTATCTAGACGACATCTCCCCAAAACCTACTATCCCCATCAACGCGTACACTGCGTAGTGATTGGTCCAGACGACACACCCGGGATTATTGACAGGGACGCGCACGTCCCCGCCAGCGCGCCTTCCCCCAGCTCCAATGCTCCTTCCCCACAACTCCTCCACCTCCCAACACCTTGCGAGTTCATCTTCGTGCACCATCCTTCCTGTTCCAATCTGTTCATTTTTCTCTGCTCCCGCTCCCTAAAGATCTAGATCTAGAAGCACTCTATTTGCCAGCATGGCTCGTAAGCGTAAGGGGCAGGCCCTTAACGACTGCCCCAAGGATCTTGACGACATCCCTTACATCCGCTGGATGAACCAGCAGATCGGAGCCTGTTGTGTTGGGGGAACACAGGGTTCCCACTTGTGTGTCGCAATGGCACCCCGTGTCCACCAAGAGTCGCGGTTGCGGGGCAGATTGAACCAGGCCATGTTCTTGTGCCTAACGACTGCCATCTCTTCACACAAGTTGTGCAGGATCACACAACACGCGGCTCCTGCGAGAATGCGCCACAACTTGCAGTCGTTGCGCCCGCCGAAGATGCGCCATCTCCCTTTCAAGGCGCCGATGCACCGTTCCACCGCCATGCGGGTGGCGCTCTGGCAGTAGTTGAAACATTGGGCCCAATCGTCCATTAGGACCTCTCCACGCGGTGCATGCAGGGGGGTTAGGCAGTATTCTCGTAGCGGGTAGGCCGCATCCCCAACAATCTGGTATGGGGCTATGTCCCCGTTGTGTAACCTCTCGAGTAGTGCAGACTCTTTGAAAACCCGCATGTCGTGCGCGCTGCCGGGATAGCCGATGAGGTAATCCCATATCCTGCCTCGTGCATCACACGTGATTTGGAGCTGAACGGCGTAGGCCGACTTCCTTGTCCAGTACTCCGCCCTGTGCCCTTCCATCCCTTTCATGTGGATGTGAGTCCCGTCCACAGCCCCCACCACTGCAGGTACACCTTTGATGGCAGCGAATTCACGCGCCATCTCGGGAAGTTCATCGCGTGTGGGAAAGCGCACCCAGGCGGCCTTGAAGACAGAGGGTAACTCGGTGAGGAACACGTCAACAAGCTCGTGGCAGAGTGTCTTGGAGACACCGAACAGGTACGACATGTCGACGAATGAAATCCCACTCGCCAAGTACTTTATTGGGATGAGCAAAGCAGTGTCCATTGTGATTATCGACCGATGGACGATGGGCTCTAGATATTGTCGCATCCCAAACTTTACATGCTCAAGTATGGCACGGTTGATCCTGAATATGTCTTGGAAATCGTTCTCCCGCATGTGTTGCAGGTCTTCAACCCACAAAGCATGACGTCGCCGCCGTACACTCGCTCTGTGACGGCGGTTCTCCCCGGTGTCGTCCCCGGACGATGAGGACTGCTCGTCCGCGTCCTCAAACACACCAGACTCTATGAGGCCTACGAAGGACTTCGCGACATTTTCGTAGAAAATGGTGTAGTAGTTGGTGACCCAGGCGACGAGGAGGCGTAGGATGAAGGGGATGGCTCTAGGCTCTGCCATCATGCGTGGATTCGGCGTGTGTAGTAATGGTGTCTGTGCTACGTTTGATTATAAAAACTCACGTACTAGAAGAGTTGCAGATGTATGTGCCGTTGAGGCAATTATTGGCACTGCGGAGGAGTACTGTACCCTCCGCGGCCTCCCTGGACATCACCAATACACTACCGCGGACCTGGAGGTGTTGGTGTATGTGCTGCGCAAGGACGAGTGGGCATGTTTATTCGTTGACCAATCACAGTGGTTCGCACATAATTCTCGCGCGTCTGTACAGAGTCGCAATACATCGATCGATTGGGACATGCAAACTCGAGACATTTGAGTGCGACTCGGCCAAATCGTGATTGGGACACATCGATTGGGACAGTGTCCACAGCGGAATGTACCCTAAGGCTCAGAATAGTGGTGTATTAGCGGAAGCGTCTTAGTACATTGGTTGAACCACCTTGCACTGGTATGTGAGAACAAGATAAGTTGATTATAGCAAAGAGATACAAGGCTTTATATGATTACAAGGAATATGAAAGGTTTAACTAACTGTAACTGCTGTTGCGGTTCGATACAGCGACGACTCGGGTAACTGCTCAATAGCGGGTCAGTTATGTGTCCTTGCTGTCGCGCTGCTTTTCGGCGAGTCAAAGGTCGCTGACCTTTGACCTTCACTTAACCTCTTGCTGTTGTCTTTCTGTCAACCGCTTTGGTTGACTCACTGTTACTTCGTTGTAGTTCGCTTCGCTTACGTTGTAGTGTTCGACACATCAGAAGCGCGAACTATATGTTTTTATCAAATGTTGATATTTGTGATAGACTGTAGTGAGGTGCTCCTTAGTGAGTACAACTCAGTTAGGGTTTGCTATTTGTATCACCCACATTCCTAATCTCATCATTCCGTTGCATTCCTACTTTGAGAGTTTCCAACACTCACCTTCGCTTCTGGAGTGTCATCGCCTTCGTTGCTGGTGACGCGGCCTTGTCCAGTCAGCAGCATGCAGGGCATCGTACAGTCCTGGACGCTGTCGGAGTCCCCACAGCAGAATGGGGTTGCTGAGCGCCGCATTGGTTTGGTCATGGACATCGCCCGCACGCCCATGATTCATGCCCGTGCGCCCCATTTTCTGTGGCCCTACACGGTTCGCTACGCCGCTCACCAGCTGAACCTCCAGTCGCGCGTCTCGCAGCCAGAGGCTTCACCGACCAGTCTTTGGACCGGGTCCCCTGGTGTTGGGTCAGCCTTTCGTGTCTGGGGCTGCCTTGCGCTTGTCCGCGACACCGTTGCGGACAAGCTCTCGGCTCGCGCCGTCCCCTGTGTCTTCCTTGGTTTCCCGGTAGCCTCGGCCGACTGGTCCTTTTACCACCCGCCCCTCCACCAGTTCGTAGACTCCCGTGACGTCCGGTTCGACGAATTAGTGTCCTACTACACCCGGTACCCCTGTAGAGGTCTCCCGGTTCCCCCTCCCCCCCTTTTCCTCGCACCCTCTCTTCCCCCTGCTCCCGCTCCTTCGGTACCCCCACCCCCCCCTGGTCCTGCCCCGTCAGGTGTGTCTCACGCTACCCCTCTACCCTCGGTCGCGCGTCAGGTAGCGTCTCCCTCCCTGCAGTCCTCCTCACAGTCCCGTCAGCAGCCTTCGGCACTTCCGCGACAGGGTAACTGTGGACTCGGTTGGTGTTGGAGCTGGAGGTGCATCCACTGGCGGTACTCGGTCTGGGGGTGCTCGTTCGAGGGGTGCTGGAGCTGGAGATGCTTGTTCTGGGGGTGCTGGAGCTGGAGGTGCTGGCACGGGAGGTGCTAGTTCTGGGGGTGCTGGAGTTGGAGGTCCTGGCACTGGGGGTGCCAGGACAGGGGGCGCTGGAGTTGGGGACCCTGACCCTGTTGGTACCCCTTCTGGGGACACTGTACTGGGGGTGCTAGTTCCGAGGCGACTGGAGCTGAGGGCACTACGTATGCGGAGAGCACTCCGCCTCCCCACCGCCACGACACGCGTTACCAGGCGGCCTGCCGGCGTGCGCGCGAGGAGCAGGAGCGGTTGGAGCGGGAGCGGCAGGAGTTGCGGCAGATGGACCTGCTGGAGCAGCAGCAGCGGCAGCCACAGCAGTAGCCGCCGCAGCCACAGCAGCAGCAGCAGCAGCAGCCGCCGCCGCCGCCACCGCAGCCAGAGCAACTCCCTCTGGAGCGGCATTTGTTCCCGCCCGTGAGTGGCCTCCGGGCCCTTGGTCTTCCCTCCTCTCCTCCTGTCCGCCCTCCGTCTCCTCCTACGTTTGGTCCTACGTTTTCTCCTCCTGACGCCCGTCCGGCGGTCTGGTCTTCTCCTCCACCGCAGTCTCCTCCAGTTGTCCATCACTACCGTTCCCATCCTTGTCCTCCGAGTGCTCGTCCCTCGTCCCCCGTTACCGACCTCCACACTGCCCTCCTTTGTACCTCTCTTCGTCGTTCTCCTCCTCCGGTGTCAGTTCTCCCGTCTCCTCCTTCGTCTTCTCTTCCTGTCTCCCCGACTCCTATCTCCGACTACTACCGTGCTGTTTGCCCTGTTGTCTCCCGCGTTCTAGCCACTGGTGTCACCGACCCTCGTTTCTCTCCGTCGTCTGTCTCGGCTCTCACTGCTGCTGTCGCTGACTTTGCCACCGCCAGCCGTCTTGACTACAGCACTCGTGTGGTGCCCGCTCCGCCTACTCGTCCTCTGTCCGTCGGGGGTGAGTTTGCCCTTGGCTGTGACGTCCTAGAGGACAGGCCCTATGAGCTGGAGTACCTGGCAACCGCTTCTCCCACTCTCTGTGCCATGCTGCTTTCCCCTGAGGCAGACCCCGACACCCTTGACATACCGACTCCTGTGCAAATCACCAGGGACAGAGCCGCTCGCACCATCACGTTGACTCAGTCACACATGGTGCAGCAAGTCCTTCAGCGGTTCAGGCTTCAGTTCTCTACCACACAACCCACTCCTCTTGCTGTAGACCACAGACTCACCGGCCCC